CGCAAACGACATTACCGCGAACGACATTACCGCGAACGGCATTATCGCGAATCGATATTTTGAAGGGGAGCAGGACAATTGGTCGCTAGAAAGATTCCTGCGTCCTCAACTTTTTCAGCAGTTGAGCAAGAATCTTGTAGCGGAAAATTAGGGCTATAAAATACATATTGCCTGTGAATGGCTTGGAATATGATTAAAAAAATCATGAGCACATAAACTGATTGTTGATATTGATTGTTGAAAAGTGGGTAAATTTATTAGAAAATGAGCAGCGATGTCGTTGAATTCGTACTGATATGGAGTCCACAACGGATTATGATGGAGTTTGAGAAAGATGTTATGCGGTACAAATAAAAAATTTGACCCCAATGAACCAGATTATCATTGTAGTACCGGTCTGTATCATTCTATTGAAATGGCAGAATAGCCCATATTGCTAGTGAGAATAGTGGGGAAAAAATTAGTTCTTTGTACACTTTAGTATATAGTCGGATAACAGAGAAAAATCCCAATAACGAAAAAAGGAGAAATATAACTGCACTAAAGGATGCTCGAACCGTTTCTGTTCTTGCTTTAAATTTGGCAGCGAATGTAACGCATCATGCGGATGCGTTTCATCCTGTCAAAACATGCTTAATCATCTTGAATATTTCTGAATATATTATTTTTGAAAAACGATCGATCGTGACGAATTATGACAACGTATCATACAAGGTAACAGGTAATTTATTCGCTTATTTGATGATATTTTTTTGTATTTTTAAATTTTTTGAACACTATTTTTGTGATAATAATAATATTTTTTATACGAAACGAATTCTGTCATGATGGTAATGACATAATGATTTTCAATAAATAAAATATTCCCTTTAGAGATGTATCGAATGACTTCTTATTATCATACAAAAATGAGACTAGGACAGTTGCTCGAAACGATTACAAAATCAGGTTGAAAATCTACATCCAGACGTTTACGACCACTTAAAATGCATCGGACGTTTACTGTCTTTATGAAGTTTCTCTTGTTTTTCGTTGTCTGCTGTGGTCCAATTATTCAATATCCAGAAAAATTAGACCACACCGTCCCTAGAATCATAAACATTCAAGTCCAAGTTATATGTGTACATCGTTTATACAATATTCAGAAAAAAGTTGATTCGAATAAAAAAAAGAAAAATACTTAGTACTTATAATACCTTTGCATGATGATGCTGTTAGATCTGCTGTTTTCTTCCTTCTGTATAAGAAATATTTATTTATTTCAACGGCTCCTTCATGACTGAGACCGCTTTTTTTTATGCTTATCAATTAGATTTAAAAAGTGGTCACATTTTGAAAATGAAAATTTTATAGTAGTAAAAGTGATCTCAATTTGGAATAGAGGCTCTCTATTAGAGAGTTTGTTCTTTTTTCATACTTTATACACTGTTTATAATTTCGAATCTGATACAATTTAATAGATTCTTCGGTAATTTTGGATCGTGCATTGGATAATGAGTACCATTATCATCAATACCATTGCTACCAATTATGACATCATCTTTTATTGTTATTGAACACGAACAAGAATTACTAGTACAGACCATTTTTTAGTTTTGTTTTTATTTGAGCGTGTTAAACGACATAAGTAACTTTTATATAATATAACAATATTAAATATTAGAAAACTACACCGATCAGTTGGAACTACTTTTGCTACTCGGAGTAATAATAATAATGAAAATACTTAAAGCATTAAAAATCTGATAGACAATTAATACAAATGCTGTTGGTACAAGTTCTGTTGTTAACAATGCTTGCATTAAGCAACTCAACGTATGTATATAACATTAACAATGAATATAGTTAAAAATCAACTATCATTAACAATTGAAAAATTCATATGTCAATTGCGTCTTTTATTTAAGTTTATCAGTATGAGTATGCCATTTTATTTGAATTTATTAACTGGTACACTATTTAGACAAACCCTTGCTACTCTATTTTATAAAGTTTTATTGAATCGTACAATTACGAACGAGTTTACAGTAACTAATATCAGAATAAATAATTCATTTTTGTTCATTCATCACATGTTCACGAAATGAGAGAGTAATATCCTGTTATTAAGTTCTGTTTAACGCTGAACTGCTTTTTAAAACTTCAGTTCATGATACATTTTATAATATACTCCTTAGGAGGAACTTTTAGTTCATTGCGCAATGGTATCTGACACCGTTGTAATTTATCTCGTTTATACCGCTGTTCGATCACATTTTAACGGCATCAGAACTACCGCCTCATTTCTTATTCTAACCTTCACACTACTTCCCTCTCTCTCCCTCTTTTTTTATAACGTTTTCTTCCTTGTGTTCTTTTTAAATAGCTTTTTAATAAAAACCCTTAAAAAAATTTAATTTATCTTTAAGTATAAAACAATAAGCAGGACCTCTTACCCTTACCTTACCCATCACTTACGTGTGATGGAACAGCGTATAGCGCTTCGCTGGAGATTTGTGAGTCAACTAGTTGAGTGAACTGAAGATGCATGCTCATGTTTTCATTAGTCTATAATGTTTCAACGAGAAATTTTGGTAATACAGTATCTTTTCTTTCCTTTTTCGCGCTATTCGCCGATGATTCGTGTCCAGTTTTTCGACCTCTTACACCATAAACACATTCATTTATATCGCTCTTATTACTAACATATTCAAACTGTAATGTAAAATGTCGAATATAATGTGATCCAAAAAATGTTTTGTATTCGACGCCCAATATTTTCCGTGCATGCACTTAATGATACATTTTCGTAACAAACCACATGAACTGTAGCAAACACATGTCGTGCAGTAACCCTAAGAAGAAAAATACATACACAATAAGTGTTCACACAAAGAATTGCCGGAATATCGGTCTTTATTTCATCTAGCAGAGGTACAAAGTTTATAGCAAACAAGATATCGAAGAAGACATGTGAAAGCTTTGGGAGAAACACGTTCCTACTCTTCGTCCGTTACGAATGCTAATGAAGAAGAGAACTAGGTTTTATATCGTTAGATTCTAATGTTAGGATACAATAAATTCAAAACAGTATTTACGATTCAGAATCCTAAATATAACTCAACATTCTTACAAAAACGTGAGTTCGGTCATCTATGTATTATGTGACCAGATTGCATGTCTTCAAATATCTCTAAAGATGCTTTTTTACGGGAATAGTAGCAACCGACAACTTTAGTGCGTGAGTAAATCGAATTGTCAGAAAAAAACACTTTATATGTTCTGGCATGCGTCTCTGCTGCAAGCTCTTAATCGAAGCCTCGTATGAGGCGTCAGCATAAGAGATCAGTGAGAATAATTAATCTACCTGTGCGGTTCGGCGGTGAACTCGTTTGTCTGGTAAGCTCGAATAGATTGAGTTCGTCTGTTGACATGAATGAAAATGTTTTCGGTCTCTTTTCCAAGAGACGCATCAGAGCGACTTCATAAGAGTTGCTAATATGCTAATATAACAGAATTTCCAGTGTATGAAAGGATTCATCTAATTCTAACAGGAGATCGTTATCTATCTTCGTTTAAAAACCATTGAAAGATCATGTGCGACCACTTTATTTTGAAACAGACAGTAGATATGAAACAAAAACTGATGGTCGCTAAATAGCAGGGATTTCTGCACTTTAAACCGTTTTATTAGCGAAATATGAGAAAAACAAGAGTTATAAAACTTGAGAAGTAAAAGTCAATCTTCCATTACGCAGCGTCGACGTAAACGCGAAATCTTTAGAGTAACTAATTACTAAATATGCGTGTCTGTCATAAAGCCTCAACTGTTAAAACATTAATAATGATGATGAGATATGGAATAACTGGGCGAAATATCAACTCTCACAGCAGATAAATAAAACAGGCCACAACTTCACCATCAATCCGCAATCACTCAAATCCTTTTAGACTTTTTGTTACAATTATCGTCGCTATCTATGAACAAAATATGACATGGAACGGGCTTGATCACCCAGGAAGGTTCCCTTATTAAACAAGGAACTGGGTACTTGGGTGACGAAGAAGAATATCTCGCATTGAAGGTCCTGTGAGGTAGCCATCTACCTTTGTACTACTTGTCTGTAGCTCTGATCGGAAAAACTAGCCTGTTCTTACCGAGTTCTTTCAAACACTGACTTGAACTCCTAATGCACACGCAATAACCATTATCTGTCCAATTGAAGAGTAACCGCGATCATTTTTTTAATAAATTTGTAACGGAACACGATGAAGATCTGCGGTTTTCAGTGTCTTGTAGCCAGGACCTGACAGCATCTTTCTATGTATAAATCAATTCTATCAATGAAGTCTACCACGGTGTGCCTAGTCGATGTTTCAAAGATAAGATCGCGCTAATACGGTAGCTTTTCGACAGCCTAAGATAAGTACATGACTTGCCAGTGCTATAAACCGAACACGTCACTTTTGAAGTAGGTAACGAACAACATAATCGATAAAAGACCTTAGACACCTACAAACTTTATATTTTTTACCTCCAAACATGAAGATTATGTAAAGCTTTAATTTCAGGTATATCGTGTAAAATCGTTTGTATCAATTTATCCGTATTTATTCCATCTGGAACGGCTTCAGTCATAATACGACTCAATGACCAAACAACGGGAACACCTCTAGTAACAATAATGACGACCATAAGTAACGTGAGGGATAGATCAAGATATTTCAACCACAAATTAATTTTTCTTCCAAAATGGTCATGATTTGGAACAAATTTGTTCAATAATCCAGATAATAATACAATTAACGATTCAACAGAATAGTCTAAAAGTAAGTTCTTTCGCAGCTATGAACATGGTATTTCACTAACTATACGTACGAATGAATGCATACTTAGTGCATGAAATGTTGCGTAGATTCTTGACTCTTCAAATTCATCACCATCATTCAAATAATTAGTTTGAACAACATATGAAGAAGAAAGATTGAAATTGTCACTTTTGCTAATCACTGAAAGATTTTCATCAGGTACAATAAGCGTATTTACAATTGTTTCACTAATTGAGTGGCAATGACGACTAGTCTCAATAGTGTTTAATCGATCACGAACACTGTAGATAAAATCAGTTTTCCTTCGCTCTATTATTTCACGTTTTGTATTATGAACATGATCATAACCTCGAAACATAAACATTCCTAATATGCCAATGGTAGCACTTACCGATCCTAGAACTATCATGGAGAATGGATCTAAAGAAAGAGATATTTAGAATTATTTAGCAATTGTGACAATAACGACGTGCAAATAACGTGCTCACTTATTTTATCGTCCAAACTTCTTATCCAGCTAACTTTGTTACTGGAATGAAATTCCGTCACGATTTTATTTCTCTTATAATTTTCGATCAGCAAGATATCCAGAGCTCCGGAACATCTTAGATTAAAGAAAAAAGTGTGCCAAAGGTTTTGAGATGTTTTCATAGTCTACGTATTCTTCTTTACAAAAACTATGATGAAATAAGAACACCTACTTTTCAAAAGCCGATTGAAAATTATAAGGAAAATAATATGCAAAAAAATCGTAACTGAATATTAACCCGGCAGCAGAATTAGCTGAACAAGCCGTAAGAAGTTTTCATCACATTGAAAAGACGCTTCCAATAGTTTTTGAATATTTGACCATTTTTTGATACTGGGCACCCAGTCAAAAAAAAATATCAGGAGGAGGAGATGATGGAGCACTCTTTTTGGAAAAAAAAGAAAGGAGTACTCTTTTTCCCAAAAGGAGTGCTCCAAAAAAGGAGTAATCTCAATAACCCTTTTTTAAGAATTACTCCGGAGTACTCGAAGTGCATGTTCTCAAAAGGAGTACTCTAAAAATTACACTTTTTTTGAAGTGCTCTGCAGTGCCTTGGCTGCACTTTATAAAAAGAAATACTCCGAAGCGCTCTTTTTTTGAGGAGTATTCTGGACTACTCCAAAAAAGAGTACTCTAGAGTGTTCTTAGTAGCTTTTTTCAAAAGGAGTGCCTCATTTCCCAAAAGGAGTGCTCCGAAAACGGAGTACACCTTCATACTCCTACTTCTAACCTTTTTTTTGACTGGGCAATCGATGATGATTAAAAGTTCTGAGTTTTTTGCTTAACTATACTTGCAGCAAATAATAACCGAATTCTTTTCAGTTTATCAAGATAAAAGTTTTCCTCACATTTCAGTACATAGAAAAACTTTTCTCTCAAAACATGTGAAAAAAGAAAACACAAAATTAGCCAGTATGATATGATAAGCATTTAATTAAAATGTAACGTGACTTTACGTCTTTATATTAACACGTTTAGTACAATGTTTGGATTTTTTTACGCTAATGTTAACTACACTTTAACACGCCATAATCCACAGAAACATCTATTCTGAAGTTTTATGCGCTTAGAATATTTACAGTTCGGGCTAACACATTATAAAGTATATAAAACTTTTGTTCTTCGAAACAGAAACACAACTTTTCTTCTCCTGCTTCTACATGATGTATGTATTACTCTTCACCGAAAAGAATAAAAATTCTTTGGATATTCATTAGAAAAATCTTTTGAATTTTTTGATCTAAACTGGTTTTTCTAGATTTATAAATCGTTTCAGAGTTAGCGGAAAATTAGTAAATAACATATTATAGCAAGCCATAGTCGGCTCGAACAAAAGAAATAATAATTACCTTGAATACGATTTGGACTAGTTAACTTGTTTATAGCATCAACAATTATACTTATTGATATGGAGAGAAGCAAAACTTCTTGCAACAAGCCGGCTAATAATTCAAGGCGGGTCCATTCAAATGTATTATTTTTCTGTCTCGCTTCTTTTTCCGAGTAGTGTAAAGCGAAAAGTACACCAATTAATGCAATACCTAAAATATCTGTTTTTATGTAAAAGAAAGTAAAAAAATCGTAAATAATCTCACCTTCAGCTATTGAATATAATCCATCAGCAATAAGTAACTCAGAATGTGAACGTATTCCAGAGGTAATTTTAGTAATACCAATACCCATTATTAAAATATGCATGATTATCATACGAGATGACTTCCATTTTATTATTTGAAAAAATTCATGTAATAAATTCAATAAACGAATCATCTTTTCAATGACTACGTTATACATACAATAAACAGGACAAGGTTGAACTTAATCATTCCAATGCAAAATACTTCACAAATTCTTACTTACACAGTAAAGATACTTTTGTATATAAAAAGTTAAATATCCATTTTTTATCATCGAATAAGTGAATTTACAATAATAAGTATTATTTTTTCATTCAGCAACAAGTTCAAATAAGAAGAAAGAAGATTTTACAAATAATTCATAGACTCATCCATCCGTAACTGATATCTAAAACGAACATTTCTTTGCTCGTCTGTCCTGTGATTCAACTCGTTCTTTTCTCTGTATTGTCATTCAACCGCTGTGACACAAATTACAAAGACAGCGTTTTATCGAAAACTTTACATCATAAGGTAGTATTTATAAAGAGAGTTTCCTGTTAACAATGTAACATTTCATGTGTCTTACGACAGAAATTGAATATCAGTATTTCATTTTCAATCAAATTTAGACTTTCTACTGTAGGATCTATCGAATAGTCCCTAGTTACAAATTCTGGCAACCAAACGCTCTACGCCATAGATAGGGATGAGATGGTGTTCGTAAGAAGCCACTATCATTCATACATTCGTAAGACGTAGACGTCTTTTCTTCCTATATGGTCGATGTTGTGACCGACGTGACTCATCAAAAAAATCATTCTGACATTTTCCGTTCGTGCAAAGACATGCAGTTCTTGACAATTCCATCATGACGAGGATAACAAATGAAAGGTTTGCCATTTTTTTCTTTGTCTTTCTTATATTCTTCACGCCATTACGCATGTATGTCTCCATATCTTACGCCACCGGTCATTTTTAACGAAAAACTCTGAGTTTCTATGCGTTCATTTTTTTAAGGTAAACTTCTCAAGTTATAAAATCCTTAAAATAAGAATACGAGCTTACCAAATCCATGATACCACGAATTGGAAAAAATCAACCAGTGACTGCTGACTAACAAGTAAATCTCTTGAACGCCGTCCGCTCACAAAAAACTTTTTTGTCTTACATTCGATTTTAATGACACTTTCAACAAATGTTTGTCATATCAAAGTGTGGTTACGAAAGTTTTTTTTCCTCGCTATCTCTTACCGTTCCTGGGTTTTCCACAGTCCAAGATCAAAAATCCTCTCTCCACTGTGAGACACCTTTTTTAAATGTACTTCAAACGAGATCTGCGGTTGGTTTATTGAATTGTCCTACTTTATCTTCTTCTGCTACTTCTCCTACTACAACTGCGCCGCTCAAAGACAAACGTTCAGTCAAGCGAAAGGATAGTGAAGTATGGGACTATTTTAAACAAAAAGGCGATGGATTGGTTATATTGTTTATTGTGCAAGTGTGTACTCGAGAGTAATGCAAACTCAACCGGTGGTATGATATATTATTTATATAAGCATCATGTAGAGGAACACAAAATATTTCGAGATAAACAGCCTATTTGGCAAAAAAACCGAGTAAAAACAGCCGTTTGTTCAACGCCATTTCAACATTTACAAGATATGTTATGTTGCAAAGAACTTGATCAATTAAAATCATTTGAACTTAGTGGTTTAGTACGTGAATGGAAATTTATTACGGGTGAAAATTGGGAACGTTTAATGTTATCGTTGTCGCCGACTACAAAATTAAAACAATTTAAAATTCAAAATCTTCATTTCTACTCTCTTTTCTATGTACAATTTGCAGTATTGAAATTACAATTAGAAGTATTACAAGCAAATGATTATTTAAGACAACAAAATTTCTATTTCTAATCAAATAGTACAATACAAAAATGTCCAAAATTTTACTGTTTCAGCGTCCGAAAATGAATGAGTGTGAATGAAGAAGAGAACGCGATTTACACTAGCTATTTTATGACTGACCATCCTCACATAGAACTGCCCAGTGTGAGCCCAGTTATTATTAGAGAAAGTAAAAAATAATGTAAGCGAAGGGAACTATTGATTAACTGTAATTTGACTTGAAAAATTCATCTAAGTTATCATCAGTTCTCTTTTGACAAGTGTATTGTGAAGTCTTTGATATAAGCATTTAGCTGACCCTAGTAAAAGATTCACGACCGTAAACTGCAGTAATACGACGAAATACGATGGTCGCACAGATTGAGGGATACGTTGATATGTAGAGTATGAACGTACGCCAGCCATATACGAGAAGTCAAACTTTTCAAAAATAATATCAATGAAGCATCGTATACGTCAACGTACACGAGCATCATATACAATCGTAAATTGGCGTATTGGTAGTTTATCAACAAAATAGTCGCTATAAAGGGCAGTTGAAGTCTTAGTTAGATGTATAATTGAGTTCTCTTACTTCGGAGTCTCCTCAAGCAGAAGCTTAGTTAAAGAGTAAAACCGTAATTACAGCTTTTCTCAAGAAGAAACCATGAAAAGAACTTAAATTCAAAGCAAGAAGCAGTAAAAAGCCGGTCAGATATTGTATTTTGAACATTTTTTATGACTGATCTCATTTCAAAAAAAGCATGATTGTTTTTGAGTAGAAAGCCTTACGAATCAATTTTTCCTGAGCAGAGGTGATCTTTAACAAGCAAAAAGCAAAAATCAGTGTGTAAAAATATTAAATTCAGAAAGAGTACAATTTATTACCCATAGAAAGTGAAAATAGAATCTGGAAATTCGCTTTTATTCAAAAGTGATAGAACTTTTTAGATTTCATTAAGAACCATTGTAGATAAGCGACGACCAACCGTGCTCAATCGACTTTCTCCAAACTTGATTTCAATTACATAGGTCAAAAGTACAATCAATAGCAAGTTTTTGCCGCAAATTGCAGCTCTACAACCCAAGTAGTTATTGAGATATTCAAGTTTTAACAAAAGTTGCCATTTTTTTGGTAATGAATTAGGATCAATTAGCGTTTAATCTTGAGTGTGTTATTTTCTAACGGCTTGACTTAGAGACACGAAAATTTCAGTACAAATACAATTTGGATCAGGCTAGAAAACTGTCTAAGGCCGGGCTCCAGGGGTCGTTTTATTATCAAGGTATAGATGGCGCTACCGCTACTACTTCACCATTCATTACCAGCTCAGTAAGGCTCCGCCTTGTAGGGTAGATACTAGAAGAGTGGAGTGATAAAACGGCAAAAGAAAAACTTTGAACCTCCAAGAAGAACGCGAGATATTGAATTTTTAGTGATATTTCGGCAGCGAGGGATAGACTTTATCCATATAAAACCTGCCATAATTTGCATCGACCTTTGCCGTCAGTGACGAGAACTATCTCATATTATAGAGTTCAGCAAGCTGAACCGGATGGTGAAAAACGCAAGTCTCTGGCCTTGTTAGAAGAAAAGTTATAGCCATTTTATCCTCGAAGCGGAAAAATGCATCTTCGTGATTTTTCGGCGGCTTTCACCGAACTTATAGAACGTCTGCGGAGCACATTACCTAACGCAGAACCTCGAGCTTAGTATCAAATGGAAGAGCGCGTCGAGTTCTATATATTTCCATGAAGAAAAGTTATGCTGCACTTTGGGTCTTGAGACAGAGATTTCTGAAAACCCGGTTTTCTAGAAAACGACCATGTCAGAATACGATGACGTAATTCTTCTTCCCGGATTACTTCATCGTATTTCGCCGTAAACAGCGTCGTATATTGATGTATACTGCAGTATTTGTCATGGTATGCTGCAGTTAACGATCGTACACAACAGTCGTAATGATCAACTCGGGAAAGCAAGGGAGAAAAGGCGGCTCCGCAAGCTTTCCGGAGCCCTTAAAATGCTTTCCGAAGCTTGAGATGCGAAGTATCCGACGCTGACGGATGCTCTCCGATGATAAGGAAGGAAAAAGTCGCATTTTTTTCCTTGCGGGAAAGTCTTCTCTAAATTAGTAGCTCTTAGCTCAGCTTCTGCCATTAAACTTCAATGCCGGAATAATATAAGTAAAAAAGATCGTCTCTTACTCGAAAGGATTGAAAAGATTAATGTGCTGTTTCTCAACAAGATAAACGATCATGTATAAAGTAGAATTTGTTGAAATTTTTAGAATGTTTTCAGCATAAGAATGAACTTACATTCTTTTGGTACGTGAAGTCAAAGTTGGGTACACGCATAGTTCTACTAGTAATATGTGATCAATGATGCTGCGTACTACGGACGAGGGAATATATACAAGTGTAAGTCTGCAATTTTGATGAGATATAGTGCCATGCACCACGAATGGGTTGATTCCAAATATAGTATTTCTATATGCGATCGTTACGTTGTTGCTGAGTTAAAGTGAATTTTTTTCTTCGATATTCGATATGCATCCAGCCTTTAGTTCATCATCATTTTTTGTAGACACATGGAGATTTTGAAGTTAGTTTTCTGATTTATCATGTTTGACAAAAATGCATTGTTATCGAACGTGAGTGCTTTTAACTTACTTTATAACATGATTTGTTGGCCTCGATGAGGAAAACGAACAAGGCACTTCTAATAAGCTCCGTTGTAGAAAATGAAACGTCCTTTCTGGTGATAGAATCAACTGTAATTTATGTGGTTGTTCAGCTTGAGTAAACGCTGAAATATTTATCGTCTTCTAT